GGGAATGAGGCACCCAAGGTCCAGAGCATTCACACCCACTAACCCCCAGGCTGAGCTCAAGGCCTCACCTGTCTGCAGAGCCAGAGCTTCTGTGCTCCTGACAGGGGGTGTGGGAAGGGGGATGGGGGAGCTTCCTCTGGTAGTTGGGACGAGCCCGGTGTCACGTCTCCCTGTGACACCGGGCCCCAACCCTCATCACAACGCATTATCCCCTCACAGTGGCCTTCAGGGCCTCCACTCAAGGCCGGGAGCCATGCTGGGAATTCCCTGGAGCAGGGCCTTTCCCCAGCATGGGCTCCTCCCTAGCCTCTGCCTGGGGCGGTCAGAGAGAAGGAAAGCAGGGTGCAAAGGAGCAGGGCCCTCTGAGCTCAGCTCCCCCAGGGCCAAGGCCAGGATGAATTCCCCCAGACCAGCTACCCCTCCTGGCTGCCCAGTTCTGCTCCTGAGTCCTGCAGTCTCCCAGTATGCCAAGCCACACACCCCAGAGCTTCAGCCCCTTCTCTCCCTGCCCTATAGGTCAGATTGGCTGGGGCCTTTGCAATGCCTCCTGTGTCCCCTGGCCCCCTCTCATCCCTTTACCATCACTGGAGGTGGGCCCTTAGCACACTACCGCAGACCAGGCCAGAGCTTCCTCCCTGCCCTGCTTCCCAGACCCACTACACCAGAGGAACATTGCAGTGCTGCCCTGCCGCTGCCCTTTATCCTTCCGTGGCTCCCCAGTGCCTCCTCTCAAGTCTAAACCAAGCTCATGAGCCATGTGGCCTCATCTCTACCAGTCTCTTCAGCTATTCTGGGTTCCCACCTGCCTGGGGAGGAGGCAGTGAAGGAAATTCCCACTGACTAAGCATCTTCTATGTGCCAAGCACAAGGTTGAGCCATCCACACAGAAATAATAATAACAAAATAGCCATAGGAATAATAATAGCAGCATCAACAAAGTGCTCATTATGGGCCCGGCCAGTAGAGCTCTAACAACTTTTCCGGTATCACCTCATTTAATCTTCACTCAACCACATTTTGTTTAGGGGTAAAAATAAAAGCTTTAAAACAACTCGCTTTTTAAAGTTCTAAAAATGGAACCTCTCCTCTCTCTTCCCATTGTGTCATCCCCACTTCACAGATGAAGAAACTGAGGAAACAGGCTAAGTGACCTGCCAAAGCTGGTCTCGCAGCTGGTAACAGGCAAAGCCAGGACTCACGCCCAGAGAGTGGGCTCCAGGGTGGGAGCATTAAATGATTCTTCTCTACCACACGTCTCATCAAATCCCCTGCACCCCTGGGAGTCAGGATCTGTTCTCATCCCCACTGTGGTTGAGGAAACCAAGTCTCAGAGAGGGGTGCATGCCCTGTAAATGGCACGCTCAGGCTCGGACTCAGCCCCTGTGCCTCCAGGGCTCCTCCCTGCCTATGTTATGGAACAGAAAGAGTTCACCCTCCAGCACTAGCAGAGCCAAACACTGAACACGAAGAATTGCAGTGGAGAAATATTGGCTATTTTATTATGAATGGTGCCACCCACAAGACAAGAAGCTAATGCTCAAAAGCCGGAACACCCAGTGGTGTGTAGGTTACAGATTATATAAGGCAAAATCACAAAACACCATGGATTAGGAGCTTTGGGTTCGTGCAGACAATGCTGATGTCTGCTCTGGAGCCCTCTGTCCAGTTTCATGGAAAAGTAGCCAGGGGGTCATTCCACCTTAGGGATCAGGAGCTGAAACATAACTTAGGTCAAGATATTATCTTTAGCTTAACAGAAACCCATACCTCGTGACCCTCAGTGAAGGCTCAGAGTTGTTCCTGGCTGCCTCAGGGGGTTAGTGACTAGAAAGGGAAAGAGCTAAGGCTTACAGGGCAGGCTGTGAAGAAGCTGAATAGAAATTACACATTCTATCAGGACCCTCGGTTTCGCCCAGCTGAACCCTTCCAGTGCCTTGGACCTTCCTGCTATGTGTGTCTGCACCAACCCCACCTACTGGAATGCTCGCTGCCCCCTATCTCCACGTGGGTCTTGAAATTCCATCCATCCCATTGCAAATTCTCTAGGGCTGATGGAAATGCCTGGCCCCCCTCCCCCTTCACAAAGCCTTCCCTTACTTCTAGAACACCTTACCCTCTGAATTTTGCAGCCCAGGGAATCCTAGCACCCAACTGCCCAAGAAGGACCCAAGAAGGTTGCCTCCTCTTTCCTCCTTCCCTCTACCCCCCTCCACACCTCACCTCCTTACCCTGTCTGAACCACTCTCAGCTTGCCCATGGTTCCCCTTTCTTTGGTTTGTTTCTAGCTTTTATCGAATTCTCTCGTGTTCGCATATAGCCTGAATTTTACATGCATTACACTCACACATTGGCCTGCAGCATTCCCCCTAACCTGGGAGGCAGGTGCTATTACTATCCCAGTTTTACAGAGGAGGAGACTAAGACACGGAGAGGAAAAGCAACTATCCTAACATCACACAGCACATGGAAGACCTGGGACTGGAACTGTGGCTCTTGCTTTCCCTGCTGTTACTCGCATGCAGCCATCCATGTGGCGGGCCTCACCCACTCGGGGGCGGGGGGCTGAGAGGCTTCCCCAGGCACAGACAGCTTTATGCCTCAGGGTGGCCAGAGCTGCGCAAGGGGCGTGGGTGATAAACTGCCCAGGGAGTGCCAAGGGCAGAGTGGGCGGGGAAAGGCTTCTGAGGAGGCCCTGGGAGCGGAGCATTGGTGCCTGATGGGAGTGACCTGGCCAGGAGCAGTGTAGAGGCGAGAGGGGCAGAGGAAATGCTGAGAGCGGTGGCCTGGGGGTGGGCCCTGGGGGGAGAGCAGGAAGCAATGCTGAAGTGGTCAGTGGGGGCCAGATCCTGAGGCACCTTGAATACTCTGGAGCTCGGGGCCACGGTCATAGACCCCTGTGGCTCCTGTGCTCATATGTGGCTTAGGGACTCCGGTGACTCCAGGAGATGTGAAAGGAGAGCAGAGGTTCCACCTCCTCCACTGGTGGTCTGGAGATCCAGGCCCTCGGTGCCCGTGAGTGGCTTGGTAGCTTAGCAGGGAGAGTGGGGTCCTTGCGCTTAGCACACTAAGCCCTGAACTTGCGAGGGCAGGGGAGGCATTCACGAGGCTGAGTGGGTGACGAGTGGACGGAGAGGTGAAGCAATGAATGAAAGTGACACCAGGAGTGAGCACTCTGGAATCTGGTTTATTAGAGGCAGGTGGAAGAAGCGGCCGGCGGCTCGGAGGCTCGGCAGCCTGGATGGGGTGAGGGGCTGGGTGTCCCTGGGCTGCTGGCTCCTCAGTCCTCCACTGGGGGGAGGTAGATTAGGCTGGCACGCGAGTGGGCGCGCTCTGCGGGGGAGGGACAGAAGGCAGCGAGCCCTGCTGTCCTAGCATCCGGCACAGGCAGCGTAGGCACAGAGCTCACATGTGTTCGGGTCCGCAGCGATGGCCTCTGGACGGGAGAGACGGCGCCCCATGAGAGCCAGCTTCTCTTCCCCAAAGCCCCCCCCTTGAGCCAGAGCTTTAGGACGTCACCCACCCAACCCCCAGGAGAAACCCAGGCCTGTCCTCTATGACCAGTTGGGTTTTCCCAGGCAGCGGTCAGGGCCAGGGCCCCCCGAAAGCGAGCCTTGCCAATTGCAAGAGCTAAGGACAGCAGAGGGCCTCATATGAGCCACCAGGCAGAGCACATCTCCCCCTCAAGTGCCACCAACCAGGGACTTCCCAAGGCCCCGCCATGGGAGAGGAGGCTACTCACCCAGCCTCCGGAGGATCTCATGGGCATTGGGCTCCTTGCAGACAGGCTTGAGTTCTTTGGGAAACTTAGGAGAGCTACAGAGGGTGGGAACCGCAGGTCCATCAAACTGCCTTCGGCTCCAAATGCTGGGCTCCTGGAGCTCCCTGAGGCCCTTGAGCTTCTTCACGGACTCCAGATCAAAGGAGAACTTGCCATCCTGAAAGAGACATGTCCAGAGCATGAAGCCAGGTGGCAGCCTGCTCCCTGTTTCCTCCAGGACAGGCCCCTCTCAGCCCCAGTGGCTGAGTGGCATATGGGAACCAGACGCTCCACTCAGGGCAATAAGAGGTGGTTAGAGCTCAGGCCTTATAACCAGACACTGGGCTTGAATCCTGGTTTTGCTCTGTCGCCATGGACAGGTCATTATACTCTGAGAGCCTTAGGTTCTGCATGTTATGAGGAATGGAGAAAATGGATGTGACTGTCAGGGACACAATAGGTGCCCAACATGTGGGAGCCATTGTGCTGATTTTTAGAGAAAGGTACAGCACTGGGACCAGGACCAGGTTCCACATGGCCATGCCCAGGCTCTTTTCACCCCTGCCTGACAGCCATGATCAGTCAGCCCCCAGGTCCAGCCTGCAGCCTAGTTGATGTATGAGAAGCAATACAAGGCCTTTCAGGGCCTGGCTGTGATAGAGAATGGAACCCCTGCTGGGTGCCAGGCTGCCTGTCATTGGCCTCCACAGCAGCCGGCACACCATTCCACCAGGACTTCCAGGATGATCATGTGGGTCCTGAGATCCAGCCTGGTGTTCTGGCTGAGTACAGGACTGCAGAGTAAGATCTGAAATTGAATCTGAGGCAGGATAGTAAAAAGCTCAGAAAATTGCTTAGCAAGTGGAATTGGGAACTGAGACAGATAGCTGAACAAACTGGTGAGCAATTCACAGCCAGACACAGAAGTCACCCAATGGGCAAAACTGGCACCAGACCTCACCCCCCAGGGTGGCCTTTTCTCCCCTGGCATATCACTGGTCATATGGTTTAGACCCTCCAGCGCCCCCCCCCCTTGACCTTTCCTCCCCAGAAATAACATCTAGGCCTCAGTTGTATTTCAGCTCCAGGCCCAGAAAAGCAACAAAACCAGGCTGGTGACGCCAGGACCAGCTGCAATGACTAATGACCTCCTACCCTGGCTCTGACCAATCAGTGGAGACCATGACCCTGAAAGGCTACACCTGGAAAAGCTGATGAACATTCTACTGAGATCCTCCCCTAAGACCTCCCCTAAACTCCCAGCCTTTAAAAACTCTCAAAACACAGGTCCCAGCTTTTCCCTTCCCCCTCTTCTTCCCCCAGGTGTGCATCTCCTAAACTCTAAGGGACCCCATGAGACTTGCAATCAGGGGAGCAATGGGCAGCAGCAGCTCATCCTGGGCTAAACCCCTGAACCTACCTCCAAGGCCCCCTTTTCTCTGACTTCCCAGTGAGCTGATAGCACCCAGAACCCTACCTTGGCTCACTTCTTTCCTATAATGTTTCTGGAGAACCAAAGCTACCGGCCTAGTCTCCTGTTGCTTCTTCTATCCTAGGCCCTTCCTTGTTTCACTATCCCCAGCTTTAATAAACATACTCTCAAAATCACCTGGACTCGCATTGTGAAATCTTTCCTGCACAAAGTTAAGAACCCACACACTACTGGCCGGCCTAAGGCAGACCTGCTCTTGGCCTGGTCCCCTCTCTGTTAACAAACCCAGCTCCAAAGAGGGGGTGCTCTCCTGTGCACTGGGGGCAGAGAGCCAGCTGGACCAGGGTAGGGACAGGACTTACCTGCACGGTGACTCCCTCTGCCAGGGCAGCCCAGCTTCCCAGGAGGCACAGTGCGGCGAGCAGGAAGGTGTTCATGGCAGCAGTGCCTGAGAGAGGAGTGGCTGGTGCTGGATGCCAAAGGGAAACAGTGGGACTTTTAAAGAAGGCAGGGTTACTGAGTAACCCAGGAGCCTTTGTCAGTCTCATCTGCCCACCTGTAAATTAGGCCTAATCAGTTAAGGCTCAAGACAGCCCTGGCAGATAAGAGATCAGTCCCCTCCCTGGGCACTCACTTTGACCCACAGCCAGCTGAGTCCTGCATTCATTCACCAACCACACACACTCACTGACAACTACCTTGGGCTGGGCCCTGTGCTGGGGCAGGTCTGCAGACCCAGCCCAGCCCTTGAGGAGGGTCCCAGAGAGTGGCAATGCAGGGTGATTAGGGGAGTGGGAGGGGGTCCAGGGTGGAGATTGGAGAGGGCACCTCCCCCTGCCCAAGGGTAGAGCAGTCCAGGAAGGTGTCCCAAAGGAAGTCATGCCAGTGCCCAGCTCCAGAGAATAGGTGCCCCTTAGAGAAGGGGCAGGGGGTAGAGGCCATTTCTTACAGAAGATGCTACATTTGTGACAGCCAGGAGGTGAGCTAGACCTGGTATGTCCAGGGCAGTGTGAGTGATTCAGCCTGGGGGGACGAGGGGGTTTGGAGAGGGCTTCAAATGTTGAGAAGAGGCTGTAGGCCAAAGAGCTGCTAGGTGTGTGGTCACTAAGACTTTGAGGAAGGACTCAGCTCTCCCATCCCACAGGACTGGGTTCAAGTCTTATCTACTGCCCAGTTTCAATGTGTGTGAACTTGGGCAAATTGTTTCCCCTCTCGGAGCCTCAGTGTCCCTTGTGTTCTCTGTGGGGACTAATAATAATTCTTGCTTCATGGAGTTATTTTTATCAATAGCAGCACCCACTTCTAGTCCCCATTGGCCTCTCTAGTGACCTATCCATTTGAGCCACAACCTGTCCTCATTCTGTGCTGGTTCCGCTGTCCTGCAGTCCTTCAGCCTCACATTGTCCTTAAATGAGCTCATTCCCTCTCCCTCCCAATTCCCTCTCCCCGTGGCTCCCCAGCCTCAGTCCTGCTGCTTCTGCCTGCTGACCATTCCCTCATGTGTGCCCTCCCCTTCTGCTCTGCCTCCCCCAACTAGCCCAGCCTAATCTCCCCCACCCTGGCTTTTCCTGCCAGGCTCACCTCCCCAACCCTTTCTGAACATGCTTCCCCACCTTTGAACATGCTGTTCCATCTGCCTGGAAGACTTTTCCTTTCTTGTCTCTAGGTAAACTCCTACTCAAACTTTAAGGCCCAGGTCAAATAACCCCCACTGCATCCCCAGCTAAATAACCTCTCTCAGTCCCCATAGGACCACGTGCATTCCCCTACCACGGATCTTGCTGAGTGAGATATCCTGGCTGTGTGTCTCTGCCCCTCTAGACTCTGACCCCCATGAAGATTGGCATAGTGTGTTCATTGTGTTCTGTTGTGAGCAGGGCCCCAGAACAGGGAGGGAGGGAGGTCCTGGGAGCTCCATGGCTCTAATCTACAAACAAACCTGGCCATAAGCCAGGAAGGGGCTGGGGGGACGGAAATCCCTGGGTGGGGAGAGTCAATATTGAAGGAGGAATTGGAAGGAGCAGAGCCTGACAAGGAGGGAACTACAAAGGGGTCCGGCCCAAGGGAGGGGCAGGAAACACCTGTTCTATCTGCCTTCCCAGGTCCCCCTTAGAGCTAGGCTGGACTTCCTCTCCTTTTTGGTGTGTGTGTGTGTGCGCACCAGTGCGTGCAAGCACTGAGGGGTGTGTGTATGTATGTGTGTGTATGCTGAGGTGTGTGTGTGCGTGCTGAGGTGTGTATATGGACACTGAGGTGTGAATGTGCATGCTGAGGGAGGGTGTGTGTGTATGCTGAGGTGTGTGTATGGATACTAAGGCGTGAATGTACATGCTGAGGGATATGTGTGTGTCTGTGTGTGCTGAGGTGTGTGTGTGGACACTGAGGTGTGAATGTGCATGCTGAGGAATGTGCATGTCTGTGTGTTTACACTGAGGTCTACCCATCTAGCCTGGCCACATGGAGGCCTGTGCTGGCTGAGAGCTGGGTGGGAGTAAGCCCCTGGGGAGAGTCAGGGGGAGATAGAGAACATTAGATTATGGACGGAGTTCAGGTGGAAAGTGAGGCTCTAGATAAGCCTAAGGGTAGAATTTGTTTGGATTGGGATGGAGGTGAGTATCGGGCACAGATCAGGAGCAGCAGAGGGTGCTACTGGGGTTGGGATTGGGGTGGGGTGGAGTTGAGCCTGGTGAAAGCCCAGTTAAGATCAGTCTTAGGTTATGGGTTGGGATTAGGGTTAAATTAGGGAAGATGTAGCAGTGGGTGATAGGAGTTCAAGTTAGGATTCAAGCTGAGGTGTGGATTAGGGTCAGGTTTAGAGTGGAGCTGAGGGTGGGGATGGCGAAGTGTCACGGTTAGGTTTAGAATCGGGGGTTCGGTTAGAATTGGGTTGCTGTGGGGGTTGTAATTGACATGGAGATTTGGGGTTAGGTTAAGGGTCCTTGATAAAGTTGAGGTTGGGTTGAAGGTAGGAGTGTGGTTCGGTTGACTGTATGAGGGGGGTTGGAGCTGGGACTTAGTGTGGGGCTCCAGCTGGGTTGGGATTTGGTTTTGCAGTAAGGGTGGGGCTAGGGTGGGGCCACCATGGACTGAAGGGGCCTGTTTCTGACTGGCTTTGATTTTCAGTCTTCCCTCTCCTAAGGTGCCACAGGGTTGGGGATACAGGCAGGGGGATTTGGTTCCTGAAGCCTCTCTCTTCCTGAGTGCCCTGGCCAGGACTGACCTGGTGCACGGTGGGGGTGGAGTGGGCGTGACATAAATCCACACTGTGGGAAAGAGGAAATGGCTCCTGGGCCTCAGCCCTTTGGGCCCAGCCCTGCCCGACCCCAGCTCTGACATCCACCCTGGGAAATGGGAACAACTCCCCTTCCCTTGCCCTCCCAATTCCCCAGCCTGGCCCGTGCCCAGGTGTGAATTTAGGCCCCCCTCCCTCTCCTTCTACATGGACGCTGCCGGGCACTGGATCTTGGGGTCCTCCCAGGCCCCCAGGCTTCCTGGCCATCAGGCCCACACCTGAGTTCTGACCACTGGTCCCCAGCGCCCCACACCCTTCATCAGTCCTTATTGGTAGCCGGTGGGTCTGGGGTTATTTGGGCTTCCCACATCCAAGGCCACCTCTTCCTGCAAACTCGCACTCCTCCGTAGCCCTCTGGGCTGTGCTATCCCTACGACCCGCCTCCCCACCTGAAAACCCATTATGCAGCCCGAAACCAGAAGACACCTGGATTCAAGGCCCTTCATGAGCAGGCCCCTGCTCACCCTCAACCAGGACTCCCAGGAGCGACAGGAAGAAGGGCCCTGACCTGGGTGCTGTGGGTGAGAAAGCGCCGGCTTTGGAGCCAGGAGACCCTGGGTCTTGTCCAGCTTCATCTGTGACCTTTCCAAGCCTCAGTTTCTGCATCTGAAAAATGGAGACAATAACACCTACAGTGTGAATTTCAGATTGTCTGGAAAAGTCTCCTCACCAATGCTCAGCCCCAGCCAGCCTGGGTGAGGACTGTCTCCCCCTCCTCTGGGCTCCACCGGCCTCCTACACTCTCCACTAGAAAACTTGGCAGCTGTCTGTCTTGCCTGCTGTCCTTCAGGTCCTGAAAGCAGAGCTCTGTCTTGCTCCATCGTGGCCCCAGAATTCACACAAGGCTGACGCTTAGGGGTGACCCTGAGCCCTCAGGGGATGGGAGTGCGGCGGGGTTTGTAATAAGCACATTAACAAGAGCCAAGAACGTTTGCTCGCTCTGGGCCGAGTGCTTTACTCAGGTGTGGAAGCCAGCCCCAGCCCGGCTGTCCGGCCAGCCCTCGCCCTACCCCCAGCAGCTGCTCAGGGCTCCCTGCCGCCGGCCGCCCTCTGATCTTGGTGAGGAGGCAGATGCTGTGCGTTTCAGCCCCGAGGCTATCTAACTCCTGTGTTGGGGTGATGGTAACATGGTCCCAGTGTCCACTAAGACCAGCCCCCCTAGGCCTGGCTCTACTCCCCGCAGGCTGGCGCCTCCGCTGACCCCGGTAGGAAAGGCCTGGAACCCAGCCGAGGTGAGAGCCCACGCTGACCTGTGTGACCTTGAAGAGAGTGTGGCCCACATCTCACAGCCTCTCCACCCTCCATGTAAACACATCCTGGAGGCCATCACAGCCTCTGGCTCCTCTGAAAGCCCCGCGATGCCTGCGGGAGACATTCCAACGACTGTGAATTTCCTAACAGCTCTGGGAGCACTGAAGAAACAGCTGTGGAACCCCATTCAATAGATGGGTAAACTGACGCTCAGAGGCCCAGGGAGAGGTTAGGAAACCATGACGTTCCCAAGGGTGCACTCGGAGGTGCCCTGTACGGTCGCATTGGTAGCACGATGCACAAGGGCACCCAGCCAGCAGGGAGGCGGACAGGAGCATGGGGCCGCCTTCACCGAGAGGAAGGCACAGCTTCCAGACTCACTGCCCGGGGGACTTGGTGGCCGCGGCGGTCACAAAGCTGCAAACTCCGGAACAGAAGCCAGTTCTCATGAGTGCAGAAGAAACGCTTCTCCTGGGCCCAGCATCAGGGAAGGGGGAGGGGAAGTGGGCAGCACTGCCTCAGACCCCGGGGGTAGGTGGGCACCCAGGCCCTCGGAAGACGGTGCCCGATGTCACGCAGAACGTGACGGCTGAGTTAGAATCGGAAGCCTATTGGTTTAAGCCAGGCTGGGGTGCAGGGCTCCCTCCTCTCCCCGGGCCCTGGGGTGAGCAGGCTCTTCCCCTTGATGCTCCCAGGGGCAGCTGGGGAGTGGACGGAGGGTGTGTCCTGTTGTTTGCTCAGCGGTGTCACCTCACATCTCCAAGGCCTTGCCAGGATGAAGCTGTGGAGAGCTCCATTCGCCATCTGCTCCCCACCCAGCAGGCAGCAGCTCCCTCCTCCCCCCGCCCCCTGCCCCCTGCCCTCTGCCCCAGTCTGCTCTGGGCACTGGCCACA